AGCTTAAAATAGGGTAACAATCACTAAAAATCTACTCTTGCTGAAATGGAAAGGCTTAAATAGAACAAACAAGGAAACATATTTCAATAAATGAATACACAAACCCGAAGTCAGGATAAAAATAAAAACTGAAAAGAACACATTTCTTGAGATGGTGTTTTTTTTTGTTTTTTTACATGATAGTTAAATACAACACATTCTACTAGCTCAGAATTCTGAAAGTCCAGAGGAAAGAAAGGCAGTTCAGGAAAATCATAAAGCCCCTGACTCTTTCTAATCCAACACTGTGGTCCAGTGATGAGCTTCTTCCTAAGGCTACTTCCGCCTACAGTTGCAGGATGGCTTCTGGTGTCAGTTGTTTCCTCAGTTCTGCCTGCTGCAAGAAAAGCGGCAAGAGCATCTCTCAAATTGTAAAAAAAATACTCTTCCATCAGTTTTCAAAGCCCGACATAGGTCACATGTTCACTCACAAGGTAGAATGTCAATCAGAAGTGTGCTTAGAGCTGCGTGTCTGAACCAGTTGCTAATAAGACAGGTGGGATTCCTTGGACTGACTTAGATTAATCACAGCTAGAATATGGAGTTTGGGCCAGTAGCCTAAATGATTAGGCAGTCAGGGAGAGACAAGATGAATTTGAGGAAATCAACTATACTGTCTACTCTTCCTATGCAGTTATGGCACAATAAATACCTAATACAAACTATTTGAATTTCAGAAATTAATCATTTTATGTATACTTTTTTAAATGTACAATATTGCCAGGACCTGTTTGGCTCAGTGGATAGAGCGTCGGCCTGCAGACTGAAAGGCCCCGGGTTCGATTCCGGTCAAGGGCATGTACCTTGGTTGCAGGCACATCCCCGGTGGGGGGTGTGCAAGAGGCAGCTGGTCGATGTTTCTCTCTCATCGATGTTTCTAAGTCTCTGTCACTCTCAATTCCTCTCTGTGTAAAATAAATAAAATATATTTAAAATAATAATAAAAAATAAAATGTACAATATTGTTAAGTACATATAATATGTAGGCTTAAAATGGTTACAATAAATAGCATTTTTGCCTGATTTTAGCAAATGATATATTTCTCTGCTCCTTCTAATCTATGTCAAACAAATCAAATGATGAGTCCATAACTTGACATTTAATGATATGGTTGGCTAATTTCATTACACTCAATGGTCACTTAGACTAGAAATACTTCAAATTCCAAGACAGAGAAGAACATATTCTAGAACTACCTCCATTGGCCATCTTATTTTGAACCTACTATTTGTCAGGCTATTAAGTCCAATAAAGTGTATGCGGTGTTTCTTCTGGCAGATGAGGGTCCTAAGGCTTAAAATACCACATACTTTCTCCAAGTTAACTGAGTTAAGAGAAAAATGCAAGACCATAGTCAATACCCTTATCTTTCAATATATGCATTGTAACACATCTAACAGATGCTAACAGTGGATACTTTCTGTCAGTTCTGGGAGAGGTCACAAAAGCTGAGAACAACACAAAGGGGACAAGTATCCCCGTATTCCATAGGGAAGAGCCATGCATGCTGGACTTGTGACATTAGTGACCTACACCTATCTAGTGACATTCGGCCTATCAACCTCTTCTAGGGTAGATGTTGGATGTGAACAAACAAGCAGAGAGACTTTCCTTTTTGAATGTTGTGGGGCTGTTGTGGCATTTTCCCTGTGATATCTCATATAAGAGAGAAGGGATGTGATTTCCTCCCTCTCCAGGTAAATGACAACCATGAGAGGAACTTTTCCTAGGAATTTACCTGTGTCACTTAAAATGTTATAGAAGTTGAGATAGAAACTCGACTGAACTTGGAAAGTTCTAAAGGTAAAAAGTATTTTGGCTAGAGGCATACAAAGCAGAGAGGTTTATACTTCTAACAATGGTGAGTCAAAAGTACCTATTTCCAGCTGATTAGATGTGAAATCTTGATATCTAACAAGACTGAGTTTAATTTAGTTTATCCAATATAGGAAATGTCTGGGGGATGAAAAGAGAGTTATGCATGACAACCCAGAGAAAATGCATTATCTCTGTAATTATGAGAGAAACCAATATCTTTGATTATCTTCCAAAATGTCCCTAAAGTAACTTTAGCATACCCACCAATCTCAGAGAACACTAATATCAAAGAACATAAGAACCATGCAAGCCAAGTTGTTCCTCATCTTCAACATTCTTTCCTTTCCAAACTCTAACCTCAGACTATGTATGGTTCACAAAACAGTTAGTAAAGCAGGAGGGGAAAGAGAAGTGAGGAAAAAGGGGGGAAATTGAACACAATTGCCCCACTCTGCATCACTGCAGTTTCTAACCTGAAAGAAGATTGAGTTATAGGAAAGGAGGAAATAAAATTAAAATGAAGAATTGGGAAATTATATTAGAATGGCAATTTAATTTCTGAAATCACATTGTTATTATAAGTAAAAGATCCTTAAAATCAAAACACCTTATCTATAATAGCAATAACTGAAGAAGTTGTGGGGCTTGCAGAGATTCATCGGAATAAAAGGATAATACAGCCCAGTGTGGGACATTAATAGTTCATCTGTGAGCGCAGCCTGGTGAGCAGTGGCTTTCAATGTACTGATACCATATACCAGTGGTCAGCAAACTGCGGCTCTGTTGACTGAGTTTGCCAACCACTGGATAGGGCATTACCTTTGCCCAGAAGTTTTGACTTCAAGTTAAAGACATTAGTACATTATTAACATGTTTTCAAGTGTTTTTCCCTAGCAGTGGTTGGCAAACTCATTAGCCAGCAGTGCGGCAAACAGTGGCAAACAGCAGCTCATATACCAAAATGCTAACAGTAGTAGGGACCATCACCTTGTATTTGAATAAATACCTCCCTCTGGCTATATGTGTAGTAAGTGTACTTCCTTATGCATTGATTAATGAAGCTAAAGAGTTAAAGTTGGGGGATTACAAAGGCTTGGATCCAAGTCTTTCTGCCTGAATGTTCTAGTTTTATAGTCATTGATCCATTCACACTTAAGTGTTTTCATTCTCGGTTTCTTCATGTATAAGTAAGATAAATACACTTTCCTTTAACGTATTTTTTTTCTAAATAACATATGATTTTGTCTCCCAGAGGATATTTGGCAATACCAGCAGATATTTTTAGTTGTTACAACTGGAAGATGTTACTGTCACCCAGCAGGAAAACACCAGGGATGTTGCTAAACACTGTGATGTACAGGAGTCTCCTATAGCAGCTCATAATCTGGCCTCCAAATCAATGTTGCTGAGGCTGAGAAACCTGATTTTAAGCAATGCTTATCTATCTATCTATCTATCTATCTATCTATCATCTATCTATCATCTATCTATCATCTATATAAAAGCCTAAGTGACCAGCTGACCAGTAGCTATGATACACACTGACCACCAAGGGGCAGACGCTCAACAAAGAAGATCCCAAGCTGCAGTGACTGGGCAGCTGCAGTTCTTGGGTGACGAACCTAGAACCAGAGAGGAGGGAGCCCAATTCTGGGGTGCGTCAGCCAAGAACCACCCTGTCACAATCCGGGACCCCTCAGGGGATGTCAGAGAACTGGTTTCAGCCTGATCCCTGCAGGCCAGCCGAAGGACCCCAGTGGTGCATGAATCCGTGCACAGGACTTCTAGCTCATTGGCTCCCCACTTCAGGTCTGGCTCCCCACCAGCCTCTAGCTCATTGTAGAGTCATGGGTCTGGCCTTTACAGAAACTTCAACTTGATTAGCTAAATGATGAGATGTGCAAGACCTAATAGCTGAGGCCTGTGCCGGCACATCCACTTAATATTGATTTCCAGTGGAGGCAGTGAATTTTTTGCTACCACTCTGACCTGGGAAACTGGCCACAGCTTCCCTCCTTCCAGGCAGACAGTAGCATCAGCAGGCAACCTTAGGGAGGGAAGGAGGTAGAGAAGCAGCTAAGGTCAGAAGGAGGTTCCTGCAGCCACAGGACTCCACCTGGGTGGAAGGGCCTGGGTGGGAGCCTGACATTGAGCAGGGTCCTGCCCTAGGATGACTAGATTCCAGGCTCAGTAAATCCTGTTTGTTAACTAATTGCATTTTACAGCTAATGCACACAAGTCGTCAGCACCAAACTTAGGGTAAAGTGAGATGAAAGAAGTGAGATAGATACAGATAGAAAGTGACAATATTGGGAGAAGAGAGAACTGCCCTCTCACAATCTGGGACCCCTCAGGGGATGTCAGAGAGCTAGTTTTGGCCTGATTCCCACAGGCCAGCCAAGGGACCCTCGTCTATATATATATAAAAGCCTAAGCAACCTTTCAACCATTCAACCAGTAGCTATGACACGCACTGACTATTGGGGGTAGACACTCAATGCACAAACATGGAAACATGGAAGAGACTAATGAATCTCAGAGGGAAGTGGGAATAGGGGAAAGAGGGAAGAGTTTAATCAAAGACCTTATATGCATACTAGAGGCCTGTTGCACAGATATGTACACCAGTGAAGCCCTTCAGCCTGGCCTGCAGGGATCAGACCAAAACCAGCAGTCCAACCTCTGAGGGGTCCCTGATTGCGAGAGGACACAGGCTAGACCAAAGGACCCCACAAGTGCACAAATCTATGCACCAGGGCTCTAGCTAGAGTAATAAAATATATCAAATGTCAACCTCAGGATTTGACACGGAATGGACACTTTATAAAGGCTAATGCAACCCTTAGCATTACACTGACTAGAAGTAATGGGAAGACCAACTTAAATGACTTAAAAGGATAAGAATTATTGGCTGATAGAAGAGGAATTTGTGGTGAGGAGGGGCTTCAGCAGAGCTGGAGGCTTAGAGGTGTTATCACAGACTCAGATTCCTAACTCCCCACAAGTGCACAGGGTTAGGTTTACTCTAAAGTTTGTCCCCTTCACCTTGTACATTCCAGTGAGATTAAAGCTACATTTTGGGTGGTTCACATCTAGTCAGAGAAAGAAAATACAGCTGTAATAGTTGTTCTTTTTTTAAAAAAAAAATACGGAACACTTCATAATTTGTGTGTCATTTCTGATGAGGGGCCATGCTAATCTTTTCTTTGTCATTCCCATTTTAGTATACATGCTGCCAAAATGAGCACTATAGTTCTCTCTTAAATACAAAAATATTCTGTCCCAAATGTGCCAAGAAAATCTGTCTTCAATATGCATTGACTCATCTAAGCCTGGGGCTCAAATGTGTTTAGCTTAGGATAACCAAATGTAGAATAATGTAAAGTAGGTGTGGAATGGAGAGTGGGGAGGACAGATAGTGTCCAGAACTGCTAGTTATCACCATGCCTATTCTTCATCCTTCTTTATTTATAAATATGTACATCTTAAAACACTAACTATAAGCTCAAGATACAGTATCAGAAAAGTGTAAGAAAATGCTCACTGATTTCTTAAGATTATGTTTTTCTCAGAGCAATAAATATAAGGTAAAAGAGGATATGATTTAGAAAATAAATTAAATTAACAACAAGTGTTTGAAAGAATGAAGGAGTATATGAACATTGGGAAGATAATTTCATCAGAAGAAAGGTCCCATTGAGAAGTATAACCTGAAGGAGAGAAATTAGGAAGAAAACCAAAGAGGAACGTGGAAGAATTGTAAACTCTCTTGTTTATGAAAGAACAGTCTCCACCTGCACAGTAAAACCAAGTGTGACGCGCTGTGAAGTCTCTTTGTTAGAGGAGTAGGTTAATAAAGACCAAGAGGCAAGGCTGGAATTCTGGTTCCTATGTTATAAACCCAGTTTAAAACCCAAGATTAAGTCAATTAAACATTCCACATGGCTGGATCAGAATAGAATGTTCTAATGACTCAATGCAGAGGAAGGACACCACAAGAAAATATTGTAAATGTCAAAGATCTGGCCTTAGAATTCCTCTTTGATTTTTAAGAAGACTATTTCAAAACGGTCATGAGGAGCCATTTATTTGGGGGAAGCACTAAATTTGAGCGATGTTTTCACTCTCACTTATTTTTCATTTTTTCCATTTTATTACATTCTTTAATATAAATTTTCCTTCATTTTGTGGGTAAGCTACTTATGACTATGAGGATTATGGAAGTCTGTCTACCTCTATCCTATATAATAAAAGCATAATATGCAAATCGACCAGATGGCAGAATGTCTAGTCACTTGGATGCACACTGACCACCAGGGGGCAGACATTCAATGTAGGAGCTGCCCTCTAAAGGTCAATGCACTCCTACAGGGGAGCACTGCTTAGCCAGAAGCCGGGCTCATGGCTGGCAAATGCACTGGCAATGGGGGGAGTCTTTCCTGCCTCTGCTGCAGGCAGGTGGTAAAGAGCAAGCAGTCCTGGACTGTGAAAGCCCTGGACTGCAAGAGGTTTGTCTGATTGCCAGGGATTGAGCCTAAGCTGGCTGGTGGACATACCCCAAGGTGACCAGGTATGGGAGAGGATACAGGCCAGGCTGGGAGAGACCCCACACCACCACAGTGCATGAGTCACATGCACCAGGCCTCTAGTACAGTATATATTTCCCCATCAATATTTCATAAATTGCCTAGGTTTTGAAGTGTTTGAAGAATATAGGTGGATAATGAAGTGAAATGTTATGGAAAATCATGATAATATTTATCATATTTGACAAAAAATATTAAAATAGTGCTGACGTTTACATGTTAGAAAATACCAAAAGTTTGTTCAATTAAATTCTTATTAGAGTAAAGCACCAACACTTATGGCAACAAAAGACATTTAATCTTAAATGCTAACTGGAAATGGAATAGTTTAGAAATAATAAAGACTATTACTTACTTAAGTAACCATTTTTGTATGATAATTATGTGTTCAAGTATTTTCTGAGCTTTGCAGGTAAACAAACTGATAGGTTGATGTACTGGTAAAGTTGATTCAATGTAAATCCTCAATGAGAGGCATGAGCAAATATGTGGACCACCAAAGACAAAGAGAAATAAGCACCTATGTACATACTCTCTATAGTAATGTTAATCATGACTCTTAAGACCCTGTTCCACCCCATTCAACATCCCATCCAGAATAATAATATTCTTTTTTTTAAAATATATTTTATTGATTTTTAACAGAGAGGAAGAGAGAGGGATAGAGAGTTGAGAGAGAAACATTGATCAGCTACCTCTTGCACACCCCTTACTGGGGATGTGCCTGCAACCCAGAATTGAACCTGGGACCCTTCAGTCCACAGGCTGATGCTCTATCCACTGAGCCAAACCAGTTTTGGCAAGAATAACAATATTCTTGAATCTTGTTTTCCATTTCTATTGGATTTTTAATTTTTCATGATTATGCATTTAATTATAGTTCATTTTCACAGCTACATAGTATTCCTGTGTATATACTTCAATTTACATATTCATTGTTCTGTCAGTGGACATATATATTAATTCTTATATTTCACTATTGCAAAAAATATAGCCATGGATACTTATGTCTCCTCATTCACATTAAAAAGAGCTTCTCAGCAATTATATTTCTACAGCTGGAAGTATTAGATTATAAGGTGTGGACATTTCAAATTTAAAAAGGGGGGAAAAAGTAAGGAAAATTGTTTCACAAAGAGATTAAATCACTTTCCCTCTTACTAGCAGAAAAAATTACAAATTTTGTTCTATGCACTCTAATAACTTAATTTATGTATACTTTGGGGTTTGACAATACAGTAAATTAAAAACAGTGTTATTGTTTCTTTTTAATTTGTTTTTCCCTGAATACCAGTAATATTAAATGTATTTTGATAGGTTTTTTAACTATTCTTATCTTCTCTAGGAGGGAATATTTATTTATGCCTTTTGCTCAATTTATAGGGTAATTACAGATATTTTAAGTTGTGCTTAAGAGATTTTTCACATATCCTTCATACTAATCCTTTGTCAGTTGTATGTGTTACATATGCCTTCAAGTTTGCATTAGTGAAGACAAGTCTATGACTTATCTTTTTAGTTTATGGGATGTTTAGGTTGAAAAACAATCTTAATTTACAGAAGTCAAATTTCTCAACTTTCTACATGCTTGCACACTTTCTCTTTATTGTTTGGTTCTATATTAATTGCTTAAGTAGTTGTCATCTTACCTAATAAAATAGGAACATGCAAATTAGTCATCACTTCACTACACCCATAGCCAAGCAGAGTGAATATGCAAATAAGCCCAACAAAGATGGAAAGTTAATTTGCATATGCAGGCATGGAGCAGAGTGAAACCTGCTATGACAAGAAGGGGGGCAGCAGAGGGAGCTACTGGAGTGGTGCTCAAGACAAAAGCTAGGGCTTGCTGGCTTCAGGCGGGCTAGGAGCAAGGAGGTGCTGGCTCATGGGTGTCTGGGGAGCTGGGACATGCAGACTCCCAGACAGCCAGGGAATGGGGCTTTTCTGGCTCCCAGGCGGCTGGGAGTGAAGCCAGGGAAAAGAAGGCCTATTCTTGTACGAATATTGTGCAACAGGTCTCTAGTTACATCATAAAAATCCACCCATTATTTCCTTCGAATATATTAAAAGATTTGTTTTTGCACACAAATTTTTACTCCAACTGGAACTGATTTGAGATTACTATAGTCAAAATTTTTAAATAGTTCCAAAAGGAAAATCATGTATTCCCAAAGTATTATTAATAATCTATCCTCTCCCACATGGATCTGTAATACAGCTCTATCATATGCTAGAGGACCAGTGCATGAAATTTGTGTATGGGGGTGGGGAGTATCTCTCAACCGAGCCTGCACTCTCTTCAATTTGGGACACCTTGGGGGATATCCTAAACCTGGGATTGGGCCTAAACCTGCAGTAGGACATCCCTCTCACAACCTGGAATTGCTGGCTCCTAACCATCTGCCTGCCAACCTAATCACCCCCTAACAACTCCCCCGCTGGCCTGATTGCCCCCAACTTCCCTCCCCTGCTGGCCTGATTGCCCCCAACTTCCCTCCCCTGCGAGCCTGATTGCCCACAACTGCCTTCCCCTGCCCTCAACCCACCTCCTCCACCAGGACCAGCCTCCTCCACACCTTGCAGAGCTGTGGGAACTCCAGGCCACACCCCACAGATTAGCCACAGGGCCCGCCTCTGCTGTGCACATGGCCATCTTGTGGCAGCCATCTTGTGACATCATGCGAGGGCATCGCTCGAGGGTGTGATGCCACCTAGGCTTTTATTATACAGGATATTCTTATATTTATGTGGATTTGTTTGTAGATCTCTATTTTCTTTCATTGGACTCTTTTTATACTGTCTCAGTGACAATGCCACATTGCCTTAATTGCTAATGTTACATGGCAATTATAATTTAATTTAGTCAAGATCTTAAATTGTTCATTTTTAAAATATGTCTTGGTTTGTCTTCATCCTTTTGGTTCTATATTAATTTAATAAATTTCAAGTTTCACAGAAAAACTTGTAATTTTGTTTAGAATGATATTTAATTTATAGATCAATTTTATAAGAAGGTATCCAGTAATAAAACTATTACAAAACATTTTTCTTGGAGAAAATTATAATCCTTGGAGAAATTTTTAACCCCTTCTTGAAAGACATTAGGTGATATAAAAATAGAGATATCCCTGTTTGAAAGATAATAAGACTTCTTTAACAAATATTCTCTGAAGCTATCCATCATGTTTCTCAATATAACCTGTATAATCCCCATATTTGGTTCCTTGGTCTACTGTATAGTTTCTTTAGTTCTTCCTTATCTTTACCAATTCTTTATTTTATTATCTCTAATTGATGTTAGTTGGGTGATACATTTCAACATTATATTTTCATTTGTTGAAGTTTCACTTTGTTATTTTATTAATTTGTTTGGCCACCTTTCATAGTCTCCTCTTCCTAAAACTTATTATGAATCACATATGCACACACAAACACACATACACACAGACATATACTAACAGATACGTCCAAACACACAGAGATACACACACACACACACACACACACACACACACACACATATACTGGTTTTCCATTCCTGAAATCGTTTGAAAACCTAAAAACACTGAAAGTCTGACTTCCTTTCCATACTTCAGTTTGGTCTTATTGTCTCATTATGGTGCTTTTCTAGTTGGTCCGAAGGTTGTGGGTTATTGTTA